ACCAAAAAAAAAAAAAAAAAAAAAAAGAAAGAAACCAGCATTTATTAGTAATCCCTTCCAATTGCTCCTCTCCAGTTGTATGAATTTCCTTATTCTGGACATTTTATATAAATGGAATTATAAAATATATGGCCTTTTGTGTCCGCCTTCCTTCACTTAGCATAATGTTTTCAAGATTCACCCATGATACACTATGTATCTGTATAGTCCTATTTATGGTCGACCAGTATCCCATTGTGGGGATCTACACATTCTGTAGCTCTGTTCATCTGTTGATGGATGTTTCAGTTGTTTCTCCCCTGTGGCCCTCATGGACCATGTTACCATGAACATTCGTGTGCCTGTGTCTATAGGAGCACTTCTCAATTTTGCGGGTGTACACCTAGGAATGAAGTTACTGGACCACGTGTTAATGCTATGTGTAGCTTGTTGAGGAACTACCAAGCAGCTGCGTGTGTTACATTCCTATTGGCATTGCACAGGGATTCCAGTTTTTCTACACCCTCACCCATACTTATTTTCTGCTTTTTCTTCTTACATTTTAGGTATCTCAGTAGATATGAAGGGATACCATGCCTGGCTTTGATTTGGAGTTCTCCAATCACTCATGACCTGTGGCATCTTTCCATGTATTTATTAGCCATTTGTGAATCTCTCTACAGAAATGTTTTTAAGTCCTTTCCCTGTTTTTAACTGGCATGCTTGTCTTGTTGTTGTTGAGTCGTTGGGACTCTTTATATATTCTGGACCACAGAGCCTTATCAAATATAGGACTTGTAAGTATTTTCTCCCATTCTTTGAGTTGTCTCTTCATTTTATTGATACTGTGAAGCGTGAAATTCTTTACATTTTTATGAAATCGAATGTATTTTTTCTTTTGTCATTTGTGCTCCCAATGTTAAATCGTTATGCCTAAAGTCATGAAGATTCATCCTTATGTTTTCTTCTAAGTGTCTTATGCCTTTAGCTTTTAAATGTAGGTGTCTGATCCCGTTTGCGGTAATGGTATATATTGTGCAGTACTGTTCATTTGTATGTGAGTTTTCTGCTGTCCCAGCACTATTTGGTGAAGAGACTGTCTTTCCTGATTGATTGTGAAAGTCACTTGGCCATAAATGTATGGGTTTATTTCTTAACCCTCAGTTCTGTTCCACTGATCTATGTGTTGATCCTCATGCCAGGCCTGATGACTGGAAGTGTGTAATAAGTGTTGAGGTCAGGAAGCATGAGTCCTCCTACTTCGTCCTTTTTCAAGATCACTTAGGCTCCCAGGGTCCTCTGCCGTTCCGTACACATCCTCAAATCAGCCTCTCCATTTCTGTAGAAAGGGCCGATGGGAATTTGACAAGATGGTCTGGGATCTGCAGACCATTCTGAGGCTCTTGTTGGCCAAATACATCAAATGTGTTTGAATTCATGAATAGATCCAAATTCTAAAATACATGAATGCCTAACAATTATAAAAATTACATACACTAAAACTAAACAAACAAAAACCAAAATAGCTTCAAAAAATTAACTCTCTAGGAGTCGACCATTACCAGAAACGTGAAAAACCTCTGCATTGAAAACGACAGAGCGCTGAAGAGAGCAATTTAAAGAAGACCCTAGAAAATGGGGGAAACGTCCTTTGTTCATGGACCAGAGAAACTCCTGTTGTGAAAATGGCCATATTACCAAAAGCGACCTTCGGGTTCAACTGAACACTAATTAAAATACCCACTACTTTCTTCACGGAACTAGAACTATAATCCTAAAATCCTTATGAAACCAGAAAAGACCCAGAATAGCCAAAGCAATCCTGGGCAAAAAAAAGAGCAATGTTGGCATTTGAAAAATTCAAAAACAGCTGGGCGTGGTGGTGCACACCTGTAATCCCAGCACCCAGGAGGCTGAGGCAGGAAGATTGTGGCCAGTTCAAGGCTAGCCTGGGCTACAAACTGAGCTCAAGGCCAGCCTGAACTACAATGAGACCCTGTCTCAAAAAGACAAAAAAACCCCAAAAACTCAATACTGTATCTTGCCAAATTTGAAGGATTAACCACCAATTTATAGGAAATACAAGTAATAAGGGACTATGGCAATTGCAGCATAGGAAAGCAATCATCAAAATCTAGAAACTCAGTAGGACCAGTGATCACATTTCTTTAACAAAAAAAATTGCAAGGAAGAAAAAATAAAAGGTATAGAGTGGAAGCTTAACAGAGATTTAAGGTACATAGCAACCAGTTATAATGTATGGAGTTTGTCTGGATTTTTTCGTTTATATTTTTTTATTTCGGTTTTTTTGTTGTTTTTTTTTTTGTTTTTTTCCGGTATCGGGAACCGAACTCACGACCTTGTGCTTGCCAGGCAGGTGCTGTGCCGCTGAGCTAAATCCCCAGCCCCTCATTTATATTTTTTGAGATGGAATTTTGCTAAGTGACCCTTGACCAGCCTTGAACTTGCAGTCCTTCTACCTCAGCTTCCTGAGTAGCTGGGTCTTACTTGGACTTTTATTGAGCAAATGATAACATATATGTTTATAAGCCATTTGGGAAAACTTAAACATTATTCAGATATATTAAGGTATTGGTAATAATTTTTGGTACATATCTTTTAGCACAGTATACAGACTTTTTTTTTTTTTTTGTCTTTTTTTGGTTTTTCTCCGGTACCGGGAAACGAACTCGCGACCTTGTGCTTGCCAGGCAGGTGCTTTGCCGCTGAGCTAAATCCCCAGAAATATTTACAATCAAAATGATCTAACCTCTAGGATTTGCTTCAAAATAATCTTGCAACAGGCAGTGGATATGTATTTACATAAGATTGGCTGTGAATTAACTTTTTTTTTTTTTACAAATTAATTACTGCAGAAGGGCAGCTGGTTCAGAGGGGCTAATTATACCATCCTTCCTTCTTTTGTGACACCTTGTGGAAATTTTCTACTTTAAAAATAAAGTATCAGGCCAGGGATATAGCTCAATGGCACAGTGCCTGCCTGGCAAGTGCAAGGTCCTGAGCTCAATTCCTGGTACCAAAATAAGTAAATAAATAAAATATCAAGGCCAGGTGTAGTGGCACACACCTGTAATCTCAGTATTCAGGAAGCTGAGGCAGGAGGAGAGCCTTGAATTTCAGGGCAGGCTGAGTTACATAGTGAGCTCAGGGCCAACCTGAATGACCTCGTGAGACCCTGTCTCAAAAACGTCAAACATTTATGTGTGTTTCCAAGAACACAGTCTCTGACCTTGAAGAAGTCACAGCTAAAAACTGATCATGACATAAAGGTATAGGGCAATGTTTCGTATGACAGGACCTTAGTACAAATAGACCGCATTTTATTAGTAGAATTAAATAACATTGATGATCAGCAAAATGAATGGTTTGTCATTCTGGTGACCTCCAAACTACAGGAAAGGCCGGGTGTGGTGGCGCATGCCTGTAATCCCAGCACTCGGGAGGCTGAGGCAGGAGGATGGTTGCGAGCTCAAGGCCAGCCTGGGCTACAAAGTGAGCTCAAGGTCAGCCTGAACTGCATAGCAAGACCCTGTCTCAAAAAGACAAAAAAAAATAAAAAAAAAACTACAGGAAGGAGACCTCAAAATGACAGGAGTAGAATTGGGAAGCAATATATACAGAGGGCAGTGAGGAAAAATACATCCTGAAGAAAGCGAGTGTGAAGAGAAGGGAATGCATTGAACCTTTTGGCTCTGAAACACTTTAAATGTGCTGTCCTCCTCCTAGAGTTTACCCACCAGGATGACCGCATTGTCAAGAAACTATTTTCCAGGGCCGGGGATAGAGCTCAGTGGCATAAGCGACTGCCTGGCAAGCAAGGTCCTGAGTTTGATTCCTGGTACCAAAAAAAAAAAAAAACAACTATTTTCCAGCCAGACGTGGTGGCGCACGCCTGTAATCCCAACACTCGGGAGGCTGAGGCAGGAGGATCGTTGCGAGTTTAAGACC